TGTGTGTGTGTGTGACCCAACCTCCTTTTCTTACAAAGACACCAGTCACATTGGGCTAGAGTCCACCTTCATGACCTCATTTTAACTTGATCACCTCTTGAAAGTTCTTCTCTGCAAACAGTCACAATCTGAAGCACCACTAAGAGTTGGTACTTCAATATATGAATCTGCGGGGGTTGCAATTCAGCCAATCACAGTGGGTTTGACAGAGTCAAATATAACAGAGACTCAGTAAGGTAAAGACCCAAAGTGTCCTTCGGGTTTGGCGATACAGAAATCATGGTTGACCTCAGTGGCGCTTGCTGAGGCCAGATGACAGTGAGTTGTGGGAAGTTCTTCAGTGGAAACAAATACTCTGGAGCAATGGGATAAATGCATAACCTCAGAGTTTAGAGGAGTAACAATCTCTCTGCCCAGGTTTCTCATGTAGAAAGCAAGGTATAAGGATAATGAGCACCAAATATTTGAGATGTTATGGACACTCTGATCTCTAGAGTAGAATGGTTTCATTTATTGAGCACTTTTTTTATGGGCTAGAAAAATTCATTCTAATCCTCACAACAGATCTATGAGCTCGTATTTGTTATGCTCATTAACAAGTGGAGGAACTGAGGCTTTGGGGGTTTAAGCAATTTGCCCACAAAGAAACGACTGCAGATGGCCAGGCTGGGCCTCACAGCTGTTTGAGAGCTTCAGTACCCTTGTCCTTAACCACTTCATTATCTTGTCTATATTTAAAGTAGGCACTCAGCACATCAGAGACGGGTTATTTACTAAAAGTCTGTAAGTCCTTTGCTTAGACCTTAGAACACATCTTCCCATGGAAATGTGATTGGTGGTGGCTGGGTTCCCAGCAGCCCACAAATGCAAGTTTAAAGTACAGCGTACAAGAAGATGCTTTTTTTCGAGAAAATGCTTTTTATTTGAGAAGATGCTTTTTACAGACTACCAGAAAAAGAAAACTCCAAGGCTCTGCCATAGTCATGATAAAACAGCAAAACAAGAATATCACTGAGCAAGGAGTTTTTTTTTTTTTAATTATCTTGAAAGATAGGACCTGAAAGTGCCCATAAGGAAGTGAGCAGGAAAAGACTCTGGGGCCTTTTCTCTTTTTTGAACATTTGCATTTGAAACCCATTTCTTTATCTTGTCCAATTTACTTCGAACGTATGGTTTCCCTCCACTTTTCTTGATTCAAGTCATTCATTGGCCGTGATGGGGGAGTTTCTTAATGTATAAATGTAATTTTAAGATGAACAGAATTTTTTCTTTAAATAACAAAGTCCTACTGTCTAGCACAGGGAACTAAATTCAATAACTTGTAGTGACCTATAATGAAAAAGAATATGGAAATGACTATATGTACGTATAGGTGTGACTGAACTATGATGCTGTACACCAGAAATTGACACAACATTGTAAACTGGCTACACTTCAACTTAAAAAATTTTTTTCTTGAAAATTAGTTAATATATGTAAAATTCAGAATACTGCCTGGCATAAGGTGATTAGGTTATATGTGCTGAGTACTGGACTAGGCTCTGTACTATTTAATATGAACGTGCTTAACTCTTATGTAACAATTCTACTGTTGCCCTGGCTTATATTGGGGAAAGAGGGGCTCAGAGAGAAAACGAACTTCCCCAAGGTGACACAGCCAGCAAAGGGCAGAGCTAGAGTCCAAACCCTTTTAATGCCTTTAAATGGGAGGAAAGAGGCTAATGAAGATGTTTGTTATGGCTAGTTTTATGTGTCGGCTTGGCTAGGCTATAGTATCCAGTTGTGTGGTCAAACACCAGCTGAGATGTTGCTGTAAAGGTTTTTAATTTTTCTTCCAGCTGTGATTTGTATTTAAATCAGTAGACTTTGGGTAAAGCAGATTACTGTCCATAATGTGGGTGGGCCTCAACCAACTAGTTGATGGCATTAGGAGCAAAGACTGAGGTCCTCCTAAGAAGAGGGAATGCTGCCTCTAGACTGCAACACAGACATTCGGCCTGAGCTTCCAGCCTTCAGACTCAAAACTGCATCCACTTTCACCTTAATTTCCAGCCTGCTGGCCTGCCCAGCAGTCTTCAGACTTGCCAGTCCCAACAATCTTGGGAACCAACTCCTTAAATACCTCCGTCTCTCTCACCATCTCTCTCTCCTAGTGGCCTGTTCTGTTCTCTAGTCTGAGAAGCCTGATTAATACACGTAATAAATACTGCCCAAGGTCAGCAATAAAGCTGTGAGTGAAAGGCAGACACAAAAGGAAAAGCCTGGCTCGCGCCGCTCCGCCTGCCACAGAGGACGACTCGTCGGGAAAGGCTCATGTCGGCCCACGTGGACTTGGCGCCCGACACTGGTCAGGAGTGTTGGACCCAGACAGCGTGGTTCCTCACCAGGGTAAGAAGGGGTACTGACCCCTCTTTCCCCAATATAAGCCAGGGCAACAGCAGAATTGTTACATAAGGATTAAATGAGTTCATATAAAATAGCACAGAGAACCTAGACCAGTACTCAACACATACAACCTAATCACCTTATGCCAGGCACTATTCTGACTTTTAGAAGGTGGTAGGGCCTCCTTGACCAGAGCACTGGGGTGGGGGTGGGTGGAGGGAGGGAGGGTGTGCAGTTCACAAGCAGGACAAGAAAACTGCCATCAGCTACCGGGGAGTCCTTTACACTCGTCTCTCAAGCTTCTTCAGGAATTAGCTTTTCAATACCTAGTATCTGACTCCACTCAAACTACTGGTGGCGAGCAAACTGTCACCTCCATTTTGCCAGATCCAAGGTCACTGTCCAGAGCTCACCCCCCGGAATCACCCAGTGATTCCCCGGCACTCGTCCCAGCAGATGGACCCTTCCTTCCGGCACACCCTCTCCTCTTGGCTTTGTGACATCACCTTGTTTTCCGCCTTTGTCTCTGGCCAGTCTTCCTCCTTGCTGGCCCCCATTCCCCACCCGGCCTCTCTGGGGTGGCATCTATCCAGCTCAATCGTACAGATTTGAATCTCATTAGAAGTTTCCACTGTATCATTCAGCCTGTCTGTAACTTTCCTCCCACCTCTTGTCACAGCTTACAGTTATTATATGTATTCACCTGGGAAATTATGTTTGAATTTCTCCTCCATTAGTCAGAAACTCCGTGAAGGCAGGTACTGTATCTGCCATGGGGTCTCAGTCATCAGCAAACTGCCTGACATATGCGAGGTGGGAATAAAGTATCTGTTGGATGAGTGAATTATTTTATCAACCAATCAGTCAGGCAATCAATCCATGACTAGGACCAGGTTATCCTCTCACTCATAGTAACAGCCAGCCACGCCCTCCACGTTGATTCTGGGGTGTTTATGTGTGTGAAGTCAGCACTGACAAGCCTACTTGAGTAAAGCAGACTTACGATACGGTGGGTACTCTGCCACCTGCCAAGGTGGAGGGATTTAAAGCGTGGATCCTTCATGTCTTTTTGTCCCTATGCAGCTTACAAACTAAGAGACAGCAGACAAGTGCCAGATGGAAGGCAGAGGACAAAACGTGGTACACACACAGTGGGGTACCACTCGGCCTTCGAAGGGGAAGAAACTGACGCATGCTTCACCACAGAGGAACCTGGAGCCAGACACAAGCGATAAACACTGTGCAACTCTACTCTCATTAGGGACCCAGAGCAGTCAAATTCAGAGACAACGCAGAATGGTGGTTGTCAGGGGCTGAAGGGAGAGGGGAATGGGGAGTTAGTTTTAATGGATGGAGGGTTCCAGTCTTGCAAGATGAAAAAATTCTGGAGGTGATGGTGGTGATGGTTGCACCAGGTGAATGTACTTAATACCACTGAACTGCACACTTAACAGTTAAAGCAGTAAATTTGGTATTTTATCACAATTTTTTAAAAACTTTTAAAAATTATAGCCCACCTGTATAGCACAAGGAACTATATTCAATATCTTGTAAAAGCCTATAATGAAAAAAATATGAAAAGGAATATATGTATTGTAACTTACTCACTATTCTGTACACCAGAAATTAACACAACGTTGTAAACCAACTATACTTCAATTAAAAAAATAATAAGGTACAAATGCTGTGGGAGCTCAGAGCAAAGGCTTCCGTGCCTCCCACGAGGATTCTGATGTCCGGTGCTAAGACCATGCCTAGGAGAGTGTGTAAGATCATATGGGGGAGGGGGTGTTCATGGATTTAATGAAAGATTGGTGAGACAAGAGAAGGAAAATGCCTATCTTCAAGCGTCTTCCGTGTGAAAGGAGGCTTGGAAGCTCTCCCTGAGCAGGCGTGGGGCACAGTTTCTGAACAGCCGTTTCAAATTCTGCTCTTGATCCTGAAACACTCAGACTGCCTGGGCCACCACTTCCACCTCAGCGTGGATCCCAGAAATGTTCACTAGCAGCGAGATTTGCCAGGGAGAACAGAGCTGCTCAATAACATGAGCTGCTTCCAAATCATGGGTTTGTTTGGGGGCTTTTTTCCATATTTAAAAAGCAAATTTCATATTACTGCCAATTGCAGTCAGCACTCAACCACACAACGACCTCATATATCCCAAAACGCCACTCTTACCTGGCATCTCTTTCAGGCCTCCTCTTTCGCTTCCACCCTCCGGCCCAGCTCAGGCACTGGTTATTCCCACCAAGATGGCCATGAGTTCCCGCAGCCGCAGGAGTCGGTGTGGCCTGGATAAAGCGGTGGGCCACCAGCCTGGACCACCAGCCCAGCACCCCAGCATAGGCCCTTGGGGTGGTTCTCCCAACAAGAGAGCCGAAAACATATCAGAGCTGACTGGTTCCACCTGATTCTGTCCCCCTTCAACGATGGAGTTCCATTTTAGCTCCTTTTAGCATTCAATGCCCGTAAAATAACAATGAAAACATCCTTCTAAGGCACTCAGTCTTTCTGAGAAGCACAAAAGAAACCACAGATTTACAACCTGGTAATTCAATCCCTTAAGACATAAAAGCAATGTTATCTTTGCTGAACTGGAAGTCCCTCTTTTTTTCCCTTTGTTTCTAACATATCTAGGATAAAATTTGAGCATTTACAACCTCTTGTTACCAAGCAAATGCTCGCTGTCTGACTCACATAGAAGCCAATGCCGTGGCAACAGCTTCTGAGGGAAGAAAGAGGCATACTGTGAGGCTGACGGGCGAAGCCCGCAGCAGGCGAAGCCCGCGAAGCCGTCTCCCCATCCCGGGTGGGCGGCAAAATTTGAGGGGTTCAGGGAATTTCAAACTTGGAAGCGGCTTGGTTAGTCTTGAATCAGTCCCCACGAGCTACCGGGGCTGCTGGAAGCCAGCTCTTCCTCACTGAAGGCCTTCCCCCTTCTTAAAGGACTCCGGCCGCAGCGTCTCTCTTCTCTGAGTTGCGGCGGCGGCGGCGGAAGGTTCTCGGTTCCCGCGGTCCCGTCTTGCACATGCGCAGTGCTCTCTGTAGAATAACTCAAGGTGCGATGAATCAACCTATTTAAGGAGGCAAAACCAGTTGAAGCTGGTCAGCCTCTTACCTGCTGTTTCACTTTCACATGAGACAAAAACTTTTATAAAACGAGAAAAACTGGAAGGTTTGTCTCCCTCCAGGTAACACGCTGCTGCCTGTCCCTTGCCACTTGCGGTGCAGCAGTCCTGCGAGCGCTGGGGTCGGGGGAACCGGAAGTCAGCAGGCAGAGAAGACCCACCCCTCCTAAGACTGCTGGTCATTCTCCTGCTTTCAAATGTCAGCTGAAACTTGGCACTTGCCATCTGCCTCTGCAAGGATTACATCACGAGGCGCTGCAGCCGCTGATCTTCAACTCAGCCTGAAAGTTCAGGGTGGAGATCAGCAAAGAGGCGCTCTGTGCTCTGGAAAAACTGGCGGAACAAGCCTTCCGAGGGAGAAATTTTCAGATTTTATGGGCCCAAATTCTTGTATCTCCTCACCTAGAAATGCACTGAAATTGTTAACAGTGACATCTGCTCCTCGTGACTAGCACAAGCCTCTGCCAAAATGTGTGCTTAACTCTCCCCCTCTGCCTTTTCAGAGCAGTTCCCAGAGCCCTCTGAAATGCTCTCTCAGGCTATAGTCCTCATCTTGCCCTGAATAAAACCTAAAACAATTGTCACGTGCATTTTTTCAGTCGACACAAATAATTAGGACCCAAAGACAGGATTCTTCCCACAAACCAGTCTCAGCCATGACCATTCTTGGTTGACTTAATGACTGTCTCTTCAGCCAAATATGGTGGAGCACGTAAGTGGGAGAGCAGCCCTCGATGGTTGATTGAAAGTGTTTCTAAAATAGGTGATCCCTGTTTCATTCGACGCTGGACCAGTGGACAAGAAATTAAACCACCCCGTCAGTTACCGCACAGCCACTGGGTACCCTAGAGGTTCCCATGGCCCGAGCTTCCCCAAAGGCTATTGGGTTCTGCAGCTCTCCACCCTGGCAGCATGTCTGAGGATTGCAAGAAATGAGTTTACATTAATTTGTCCAAAGCCTGTTGTTTGTAACAAATGCTTTTATCTGTGCATATGAGAATCCTGGGAACTTCTGAAAGAATACCTTGGGTCAGATGACAAAGCAACTCCTGCTCTTGGGAGTTTCAGCTGCTCCTCAGAGATCTCTTCCTTCAGGTGATAGCATTGGTGCCCTTTTAGAAGGGACACCACTTTATGCTTTTTCTTCCTGAGCATGCACAAAGAAGAGGTCCCGTGAGCGTACGTCAAGAAGGCAGCCACCCACAAGCCAAGAGGAGATGCCTCAGGATGGAACCTACCCTTGACCAGCACCTTGATCTTGGGCATCCAGACTCTAGAACTGAGAACTAAATTTGTGTCTAAGCCACCCAGTCTATGGTACGTTGTTACAGCAGCCCAAGCAAACTAACACCGGGAGGGACTGCTATTGGTACAGGGTTTCTTTCTGGAGCAATGAACGTGTTCTAAAATTGACTGTAGTGACAGGCGCACACCTCTGAATACACCAAACCTACAAATCGTACACATCAAATGGATGAAATGTACAGTTAGATGAATTATAGCAATAAAGCTGTTTAAAAAAAAGCAGTGATAACATTTTATACACTGATTTCTACAATTTACAAATAGCAGAACAAAGTTGAAGTCAACTTCTGGCAGATTCTACCTGTCAAATGTAAAACCAGGGGAGTTAGCAGGTTTCAGGCTAACAGTGACTCAACAATAAGGACATTTTTATCTCACGTGTTAGGAAGTCCAGGTGTGGGGTCTCCCAGGGTTGATTTATTCAGTGTCAACAAAGTCATCAGGAACCAAGGCTCCCCCCACTCTGCAGTCTTCAGTGTGTTGGTCCGTCATCTTCTGCTGATTCCACTCACCATCACAAATGGCTGCCAGGGCCAAGCTTCACACTTCACACAGCCATGTGCTGAGGTGACAAAGTGGATTTTCTTCCAAGACATCTCTTTTTCAAAGCAAGGAAAGCCTTTCCCAGGAAACCCCCAGGAGACTGCCTCTCATGTAACATTGGCCAGAAGTGTCACATGACCAGTTCTAAACCAATCACTGGCAACAGAGATAAGGTCACATGATTAGCTCTGACCAATGAGGATTCACACCTGAGCCCAAGGAGGCCCTATCCGAGTAAGAAAGGAAGAGTGAGGAATGGATTTAGATTCGCAAGCAGTGGTATCTACTAACTGACCTGAATGATCTCAAAGGGTCTTTGCAGCTCCAATACTCAGTCAGTATGTGAGAAAGCAACATGGAACCCTCACTAAGGCAGGCTCCTTATTTCTAATGTAAGCATGCCATAGGAGTTTTAGTTTTTTGTTCTTTTACACCAGCTCAGATGTTCCACCAAAAATTCCAAAGTCATCTGGATTCATTCAAGAGCCCAGCCCAGGACAGGTACTTAGGGCTACACTAAAAAAGGACACAGAGTCACGGAATAGTTAGGATAACCTTGGTAACAAATTAATCCTGAACTAACAGGAGCTTAACATAATGAGGATTTATTTCTTCCTCACACTACATGAGGAAGGGGGAATATGTTTGTCAAAATTCAATGAAATGTACACTTAAAATGAATTTTTTTATTGTATGTAAACAGTACCTCAATAAAGTTGACTTACAAAAAACAAAATAGTATATTTTTAATTCACAAGTGAAAACATGAATACGTTATTTTTAAAAAATTAATGTATTACAGATAAAGCTAGTTTCCTTTGACCACCCTCCCAGTCCTGGTTTCCATGTTTCTCTGTCCCATCTATACCTCCTCCCTCAAATAACCCTGTTTTGAGTTTTGGACGAATTCTTCTGAACCTTTAAAAGTGCATTTACATACATATAGAGGCACAGAAAACATACAGTATTGTTTTGCACTTAGATGTAAGTTATATGTGTTTCTGAAACTTGCTATTTTCATTTAGCTTCATGTTTCTGAGATCTCTCCATGTTAACACAGATAAACTGTATTTCTTTAAGTTTACATAGTAATCCATCACATGACTATACTACAGTTTATTTAGCCAGGCCTTTCCCCTTCTGACAGATATTCAGGTGCTTCTCCCCTATTACAATTCACCAGTGGAGTGGGAAGTAGTGGTCACCACAGGGGTGGCCACAGGGATTACAGACAGTGTTTCAAGGGGACTTTAGCCTTATCTGTAAGGTTTAATTTTTTACAATGAGAATGCATTTATGTATTATTTATATAGTTTAAGTATTGACTTTGGTTAAAGAATTTTCTGATATATAAATTATCAAAAAGAATGAAACAAAATCAGTAATAGGGAGCAATCATCTACTAAAATGTAAGGAAAACAAAGTTCTGGGACATAACTGTGTACTCATGGTTTGAGACATAAGTATTTATTGAAAAATAATTATCTGAGCACTAAACAGTTCATATAAACACATTCTACTCAAAGCAATTATGATAAAAAATATCAGCATATTGGTTACCATGGCATAAGCATAATTAATACATGCACAAATACTCCATTTATATTTTCTGCTTTCTTCTTTTATGACTATGATGTCTTTCCCCTTCCCTGAAATGAAAGGGATGAAAACAGTTTTATCAGATATAAACCAGAACAAGTTAAAGCATACATTTAGAACAGTGACTTTTTTCTTAAGAGTAAATATAAAAAATGCATCATTAAAACTACAGGACAAAATCGAGATGGAGATAAGCAAAATGGATTTCTAAACTGCGCTCTGGAGCTGCACTTTAAAACTAACTCTGAATATACCTACGTGGTTGATGACCTGAGAATACACTTCAAATAGAACATACATATCACAGGAGGAATTCAGACCCTGTCTGATCTCCTCATCCTGGCTCCCGTCTCAACTCCCCACAGTTCATTCCATCTCAGGGGTGGACAGCAAAGATTATCCTATTAAGGAGTACTTCCTGCTACAACTCAGTTTACCCTCTCTAAAGGAAAATTATTCATACTTAGATTTTGAGGGTACTGAATGTATTTAAGTCATCAGGGACTGATCAGACATGTCAAAGATTACTAACAAACCAGAAGTTAAAGAGCCCAATTTCTGATAGCTAATCAAGAGCTAATTTGTGCATAATTATCACATATCATTCATTAAATGAATAAAAGGGATTACTAATCAAATATTTCATTTTTATAAGAAAAAGACTAAATCATAGCTAGCTTTAAACCTATGAAGTGAATGATACTAAGATGAGCAAAATTATTAAATGGGTAAACCTTACTAATTCCTGATCTCCACTGGTCCTGAAGAGATATCATTTAAGAGCTCATTATTAGATACACACTGTGCAAATAATACTAAATAAGACATGGACCTGCCTCCAAAGAGCCCAGTCTGGCAGGAAGAGTAATCATTTAAGGTCAATAAAAAGTTTGTGCTGGGCAGAGTGGCTACCAGATGGAAAAGATCAGCTCTGTTTGAATGAGTGAAAAAAAAGGCTTAATGGAAATGACTAAGCTGGGTCTAAAGGGTGAGGAGTTTACCAAGCAGGCTTAAAAAACACCAGGCAGCAGAACATGACGTGGGAAGGCACGGATGAGCAGTGTGGATGAGGAACTGTTTGTACTTGGGGCAGGCAGGCAGCTAGAGCAGAAGTTACTTGTTTCATGGAGCAGAGGGTAAAACACAAGGTAGACAGGTGGGTGCCCTGATCCTGGAGGTCTTGAGAGCCATGCTAAAGAATGTGGACTTTACCACTAAGAGTCTTAAGAGGTGAAATTCACTCTGGTAGTAGGATTGGATGGATCCACATGGAACAAGCCTAGAGACAGAATGACAAGGAAAACGGCCACCGTCTTCCAGGTGACAGCACTCAGGATGGAGAGGTGGCGGTGCACATGGAACCGACAACATTAAGGCCAGACAGTGCGGAATAAAAAGGAGCATCTAACGTGACCGCTGATTTTCAGCTTCTGTGAGCAGGTGCTGGACATCCCTTAACCAGGACAGGGAGTGCTGGGGGAGCTCAGGTACACACCTGATGCACCTGAGATCTAAGCAGGTGCCCAGGCAGCAGCTGGAGTACAAGACAGACCGCGGTCGATCTAAATTCATTATTTTAGTATTACTTCATCTCTCTCCAGCCATCAAAATGCTATCAGGAATATTAACAAGGGCGAAGCTGACGGACACTAAAGCTGGGATCTTCTGACTTGATAACATCCTTTGAGGAATTAGCGAGAAAGAAAAAAGGAGAAAGAGAAGGAACAAGAAAACAAGAGAGGGAGGCAGGAAGCAGCAGAAGAGCAAGGCAAACACTCTGTTAACGTGGTTAACTTTCTACTTAGACGTTACTTTTGTTAAGTCCTGGT